CAAGAAGTATATGGATTAGACCACTTTCATAATTATGGACATAATTGTCGATTATATTCGAGTGTGAAAAATTGTAGCAGCATAAAATACAACGCCGCTCGAATCATCTCGAGTGTGCAGAGTTTAGCCTGTTTAGCTTGCTCGAATTAATTCCAGCTATTGAAACCATTTTTTTTTTTTTTTTTTGATCACGGAGGGGAAATCTTTCAAAGATACCCTTCCTCCCTGGGGGGGGAGGAAGGGTTATGTGGGATTTCCACCCACTAAAACCCCTCCGGTAGCCATCGTCATCGCCCTTTTGGGAGCACCGGGAGCGCTAAAAAGCACGCAACAAAGGCGTAACAAAGAGGCATGCGGTGCAACAGGGCCACACTGGTGCACCGCACAAAACGGAGTCGTCATGACAGGCGGCCAGGGCCCCCACCCTGACCACCATTTATCATTTTAGGATACGCGTTGGAGGGAGTACGTAATGAAACAATAAAGTGTAAGGCTTAATAAAATGTTAATTTCACTAGAAAGCCATTACTGATAAACTATAATCGTATTCCCTTCTTCCCCCTCGTCCTTCGGCGTGCTTCGTATACTGGATTCGCCGCATCCTTTTTTTTCAGATTTTGGAAGATTCAAGAAATGAATCGGACGCCAGTTTTAAAATAAGAATGATATACCTCCGCGATACAATGTAATAAAAGGAGGCAAAAAATGAAATTTGAATTCCAACGGCAACAGTAGGAATATACATATAAAACAATGTAATGCAATTCACATTATGTTAAAACATGAAACTAGCGCGAACTGACGTGTAATGTGCTTCAATTCTTTGCGACGACTTCTGTCACGGTGCATCGATTATAAAGTAGACAAGGATACAATCGTACGCGTATCATCATTCAGATGAAAGGGAGCATTAGGGCACGAGTAATCAGAAATTATTCAAACTGTTGGACGTAACGCCACAGAAGCCATACTTCATTCTGGACGGAAGAGCATTAAACTGTTGTTCACGAATACAATCCGAATACTGGAAGAGGTAACGGACGCATCGTATTTCGATTAAACAAATACGAAACGCGTACGTATAATCGAGGTGAATCTC